TCTGGTAACCTAGCAAGACAGCTGCGTCGGAGATTTGGGAGCTCTGCTGTGTTATGGGGCCCTGGCCTAGGCAAAAAGGACCTGAAAACCCGCGAAGAAACGAGCACACTTCCTTCTGCGATCATTTCACCGATGCCGCGGCCGCCGCCAGTGACCAACACATTCTTTCCGGCCTGGGCTTTGGCAAGATCGCATCACAGCGACTGACTGAGACGACCGCTGTGAATCGCGCCCCAAAGCGTCACATGGGGTTGAAGGTTGCGCAGCCATGACCAGGTCGACAGAAAAAGTGGCGAAACCAGAAGCTTGCAACCAAGAGGCCACTCCAAAAAGATCTGCCAGTTCCATGGCCCAAAACCCTAAACAAACCCTACTTCACTTCAAAGGGCACTGCAAGAAGCCCACCGGCTCAAACGGCGTAGTCGACGGCCACAACCGGGACTCGCAAGCGCCAGGACACAAGACCAATAAGGTAGTGTTTACGGTTCTATAGGGCTTAAGGTGTTTAGGGTTTAAGCTTTGTGCTTTAAGCGTGATGGCCCTTTAAAGACTAGGGATGAAGGTTTGTTTAGGAAGTTTAGGGTGGACCAATAAGCATCAAAGTACGGGCCTCATGGCATGCGCAGCCCTAAATCCTAAACCCATAATTACAACCCTAATCCGAACCAAAGCTCAAAGCCCGCGCTTGTACCACGTACTGTACCTGACAAGCCCAAACTGACCCAAAACCCAAACCCTGATGCCCCACACCCTAAATCCGAAACCTACGGTAATACAGTACGTACCGAAGAGTATCCTGGTTCTCTTGGACCTCCAGTGCACGGAAAGGCCTCGAGCTCAAGGCGGACGCCAAACTGGTCTGCCAAACCCTCGAGCGCATAGGCCTAGATCCAGTGCTCAGGGCGGCAGCAGTCGCACCAGTAGTCGTCGTGGTGCCGTGGTTGTCGTAGTAGGAGGGGACGGAGGCGGAGGAGGAGGAGACTACGGGAGGAGGCAGAGGTGTGGAGGGAGAGGACGAGGGGGAGCAACAGCAGCAGCAGTGAAGTGATTAAGCATTAGCCATTACTTTCTGCAACCAGTTGAAAGCTCACAACTGCGATCGCTCTCTGAAATCTTTCTTTTCCGCTCAGGAAACGGCCGCGTGCTCGGCGGGTAGAACCTGTCTTTACTCTCGTGGCTCATTTGCTGTCAGGAATAGCATTTTAAGTCTAGGGTGTTGGAGTTAAGGATTTGTGGTGTGTGGTTCAGGTTCAGGTTCGGAAGTTTAGGGTTTAAGGTTCAGGGTCTTGACTTTGGGTTTAGGAATGAGGAAGTTCGGATGTATCTGTTCAGGGTGTCCCATGGTTGCAGCACAGGAACCTATGGTCCTGAAGGAGCCGTATGTCAATCAGTCCGGCTGCTTCACAATCTGCCGGGTTCGGAACCCCATACACAAAAAAGTCGATTCCAAGGCCAACAAGTCCCCGATCTCTCAGGGATCTACGAGGCTTACTACGGAACTGCCCCTGCTCCTTTCACCTGGACAGACTCCTCATGCAGCTGGAATACTGGTTCTCAGCCCAGACATCTGAGAAAAACGAACCCCGATACACGATTACCCATGAGCAGAATCTTGAAACTTCCCTTGCCTGCTGACCAGGTAGAAGCGCACTGGTCCAGACCTCATCAGAAGGCCTATGTAGGACCCCCTTCACGGCTGTTCCTGTTTGAAGCCAACTGAAAGCTCATATGAGAACCCAGCCTGAAAGCCTTATAAACCCTGAAGCACCCTTGAAGCTCAAACTGTAGATTGTCGTAGGGCTGGAAGAGGCTGTGGGAGAAAGGTTTATTTGTGGGCTGAATGGTCGGGTCGCATGGGCATATCTGGGGTCCCATCATAGCACCTACTTTTCCCGAATGAGTGGCGGAGTTTTTGTCTTCCATGGAGGTGGTTTGGGTGGCATGCTGCTTTCGTGAGGTGCCTGCTGTAATCCAGCAAAACACATGACTCTCAATTCACAACCCTCAACCCTAGAGCCCTAAAGCCCCAAACCCTAAACCCTGAAACAGATGTCTCTCAATTCACAGGGCAGGGTCTTGCAGGAGTCGCCGGGCTGCGAATTTGTCGCCCTGATCTGCCCCGAAAGCCTGCAAAACCCGGAAGATCCCTAAAATATGGGGGTTTTCCGAAAATAGGGGACCCTAATATAGTACCCTAAATAGTAGGATCCTTAAACTTCTAAGACTGCCACGGACTCGGCATGACGATGGAGCGTCGAAGGTTCTGACCTTTCACACCCACGGAAGTGCCCAGCTCCCCAAAGAACCCAATCCCCCTTAATTAAGAAATATACCTTAAATCATAATGGCAAGGCCCTTTTTAATTTAAGGTATCTTCCTTAATTAAGGCGCATGGGTTCTGTGGGTCTCTCAAGGCCAAAACCACTGAGGATTGAGATCCAAGAGCCTCTGATTTTGCAACAAACGGTTCAGGTTTGGGCTCTGGTAAAGTTTAGGTTGAAACCCACAAATTTACAAACACTGACACCTGCAGTAAGCCCATAAAAAACCATAAACCCTAAAAAGCGCTCCAGAAACCCTACAAGCTGGAAAAAATACACTGAAGCCTGTTTTTGTTTGCGTTCCTTGTGGGGTTACAACTTCAAAAGCACCGGAATCCCAGCAAAAGGCCCGCGCTTCATGTTTTCCCCGCATCTCTATCTGTGGGCCCTGAAACTGGGAAGCCATCCATGCTGGTCAGCCAGCGGGAGCACGGGTTTTGGGTCCAACTTCGGGTTCAGGGTGCAAGGTGTGTTTGTAATAATCCCCTAAAGTCTTAATTATAATAGTATAAACACTAGATGCTTAGGGGCTCAGGCAGTAGGGGTTTATGGGCTTAGGGTTGAGGGATGTTGAGGGGCTTTCTGGACATCTAGATTGCTTATGGGTACCCAAGGAGAAGAGTCCTGTGAGCTGGCGAGGGAACTCGTCGCAACACACAATCTGCCATTCAAACGTATGTAAATGCACATGTACACTTCGCTCAATCTTCAAGAAGCCGTTTAAAGTTTAGACGGTTTAGGCGTCAAGTAACCGTTCCTTCAGGACGAAATGAACCCCAAAAGTGTTTAAGGTTCACATAACCATATAGGGACTCATAGTATAAGGGTATAGGGCCCCTACTCATAACGGTCATGTGGCCCCCAAGGTTTGGAACAGAGAAAGGGTTCGGCTCCCCGGACGGCCACCCACGTCCCTCCAGGCAGAAACCACAAGCCTGGACAGGGTCCGCCTTGAGGCTCGCAAGCTCTCCATTATATGATAGGGGTAGGGTTTTCGGGGGGTATACTATAGTATTAATCTCTAAGGAATATAGTATGGGTAGCTATTCAGGCTTCTCCATAAACAGATCAAGCTCCGTAGTTAAGAGAACCGTCTTTTAAATCAAAATTCGATTAACGAGAGACTATGATTAAGACCGAATCAAGACCCCTTAAAAGCCTTATTCATGTAGACTCTAAATGGAAAGATTCTTGGTACAAGGGCTGCAGCGGCTTTGGCGGTAGACCCGTCTGGAACCGAAACCCTTCCAATTCAAGAGCAAAGGCGAGCTTCCATATAAGTGGAACATGCAATACGGGGACCTTAATAAGTAGACAAGGGTTTTGCGCAATATCTTGCTCTAGCTATGTTAAACATATAGTCTTACTGATTTTTGCGGCTGGGCTCTATGTAATTGATTCCTCGAAGCCCTATATTCATACGGTTGTCATACGGGCGACGCGTAGGGACACAGCGCTTGAAAGGACATGCTGGGTTCAATTGCTCGGCGCTGTCGTTGGGGTTTGGGCATGTGCTCTTGCATTCAGGATTTGCAGTTGGAAACCGGCACTGGTGACCCGTGTTCACGGCTAAGTTTACCTTACCTGAACAAGGTTCAGGGTAGGTTCAGCTCAGGCATGTCTGGGAGCAGCAAGCCTCTTTGAAGAAACTGTGGCACAAACTATCTGTCTGAGCCAGCGAGAGTGCACACCTCAATGCTTCGTCCCCTTTGCCCTGCCTTCTTAATCGGGGGCATCCTTGGTACAAGTATTTGAGGCTCAGGTCTTCGAGGCAACATTTTTGCCTCCGAGTCTCGGGTTCCTCCCGCATTTCGGACAGGTTCGTTCGAGGCGAAGGGCCGATGACTCTTGGTTTGAATAATTTTGAAGAAGATGTTGGCTTCAAGGAATTATGGGGCTTTCCATCACTCCTGCAGGGGTTTGCTGGGGCACGCAGGATTTTGCAGCGAGGGCTTCGGATGGGCTGTTGGCCGCGAAAAGCACACCAGGAAATGGAAGGTAGACTCGTGCATTGAGGTGTTACCAATTGGACACTGAAGGTGTCTGGAGCAAGCTTCATGTGGCCACTTTCAAAGTGCAGGCATCGGCAGCTGATTGACTTTCAAAGTGCAGGCATCGCCAGCTGATTGGGCTTTAGGCACCAGGCCCATACACATATTTTCTGGCACTTCTAACTCTACAAACCCGCAACGCTGACCTCCGGGTTAAGGATTAGAGGCTACATGGCTGAGCTGAGAGGCTCTTAATACCCGGTCAAAGCCTACACAGATGGGCTGCGGTTGGTAAACTTGACAAAAGAAAAATGATGCCGACACAGGAAAACGTTGTGCATCATCAAACCGTTGCAGCTTTTAGTGCTTATAAGTGACATCCTCCATGTGCTATGTTCAATGTTGCACTCCGTCTCAATTCTGGGTAACCCCTTTACAAGACAAGGAACCAATGAACAACTTTCTGTACTCCTACCCGCTATAGAGTAATTACTCTTCGTGGGCAGCTTGCCCCCTGAACACCTTCTTGAAACTTGAAAATCCCGGCTACGCAAGCCGACACGACGGGCCGACTCTGTACAATGAATGGCGTCAAGCCGTTCTAAAGCTAATTTAGCTAATTATCAGATTGGCAGATTGGGAACGTCGATTGCAAAGAACATGTGCGGAAATGCAGTGGCACGGTTTCTCATCTCATTGACAGGCCGATCCGCCACTTTGCCTTTCCCGCACCTGCAAGGACAAGCAAGCCAGTAACAGGCGGAAAGGTTTAGGGTATCAAGTTTGATTCCACCAACAGCTCAGCTCTGGCCTCCTTGATCTTGTCGACACTCAGCGTTCCTGCTTAGAAATATGTATATATATATATACATACATACATACATACATACATACATACATACATATGCACTCCCTCATATCCTTGATGCTAGTCAACGCAACGAGCCGAGGCCAGGGCAACACCGTGACCTCCACGGGGCTGTTCACGGCGATTTTGGCCGCAGCTTCCCCCAAGGGAAACTTTGATATCTCGGCGCAGGCGTAAGAAGGCATATGCGGTTCTTCTGACATGGGATCCTCGTGTCTTGCTCGGCATTACATGGAATGCAAACGATTTCGAAGGCCCCACCTGCCATCAGCATGGGACTTGAAGTAAGCATGAAACCACTCAAGGCGAAACCTTGATCCAGGCAGTGCGGGAAACAGCCCGTACTGAGGCCCTGGCATGCAGCAGCCCATCGTGGCCCACACCCACATCCACGAAAGCCCCGAAAGCCACAACGTTTCGAACTACTCCCTGCAGGCGCATTCCAGCTCGTAGCTGGTCAACCTGGGAAAAGGAGTCATGACGGGGCCTGAATAATTTAGACTAGGGCCCCTCTACAGGATTCTATACATGTTGCTAAAACCTAAGGTGGCCAGGCCTAGCTACTGTTACCTTGTCGGTGAAAATCTGCGTGCCGCTGCCTTTGCAAAGCTGCTCCCTCCTCCTGCTCTCGCGACATGCTTGGACTCAAAAGAGACACGCAGGGTTTCCTAAACCAATCAACCCCAAATTGGGCAAGCAGACGATGGGAAAGTACCAGTTGTTGGAGTGTCACGACGGGCATCCTTCTCTGAAGTAGGATAAAGTGCAAAGGGCTGTGCGGCTGAATAAATACCTCAACCTTCCCATGATCGGCCGTAAAACATCTCACTCATGGCACCCTTATACAACCTTTGTTGTTGCCCCTTACCAAACCCTTTGTTGCAGCGGGTTGTCGCCCGGGATGTCCCTCCTAAAGCCTGAAAACCTAGTCGCTAAACCCTAAACCCCAGCCCTTTGGCTCCCATGGCCAACTTCCTTGTAAGACCCTATGTGAAGCTCTATAAGCCCTGTAACGCCTTTATAAAGCACTTCTGCAGGACGCCGAAACCAGGAATTCTGACGGACTTACCCAGTCGGCAAAACCTCCTCTACCGGCCAGGAGCTGTGTAACCAGCCTCCTGCGCGTCCAGGGCAGCCCCCTCCTCGCAAGGCTAAGTTGATAATAGTACTGCATTACGAATAAGAACAATGGTGGCGATAACTGCTATCATACTTTTGTTATTAACACGAAGAATAATACGACTACTACCCGAATAGTCAGCCAGGCATCCAGAACAACACTGGTCTTTCAGGCTGAGTGCTAGGATTTAGCATGTTCAGGGTTTCAGGCTTAATGATTTTGCGGATTGGAAAAAACTCGAACTCTGCGGCGTGGCCGAGACCCGCACATCTAATCAGCTTCCCAGCGGCTCGAAAACGTTCTCATCTGTGACCAAACCGGAAGCTCAACCTTAAACCCTAAAAGCCATAAGCCCTAAACCTTATAAACCCTAAAACCCTAGACCCGAAAAGCCAGAAACCCTAAACCCAACAAACCCTGAAAACTGGCCCTGAGGCCCTATAAGCAACCCCCGAGGCAAGAACGGATCTGCTCTTGGGGCCTCACGCCGTTTTCCCAGAACCCAGTACATCTTAATTAAGGAATTTACCTTAAATTATGGGGGCCTTAAAGGGATCTATACGGGTCTCTATAAGGGAATTCAGGAATATACCTTAAATTATAGGGGCCTTATTATTATTATGATTTAAGGTATATTCCTTAATGCAAGTTAAGGGGTATTGGGTTCTCTGGGTGCTAAAGGCTGCAGGGGCGCTTTAGGAACTTTCGGGTTAGGGATGTTTGCAGGCTCCAGCGGGTTTGGAAAAACCTCTGAAATCTGAAAGTCTTTTCATCATAACACGAAAACTTCTATCTACTTTTAGGGTCTAGGGTTTAGGGTTTCAGGGTTTAGCCTGCGAGATCGACCACAAAGAGTGTCGATGCACGACAGGCAGTACCGAGAATTGCGCGCAACTGGGGAGACCGCATCGGTTAACTGCTACACCCCAAGCCCCCCAAGCCCTAAGTCCCAAACCCTAAAGCCCAAAGCCCTAAAGCCCACACCTGTAGAATTCAAGACCCCCAGACCTCATACCCTACCGAGCTCTTTCTCAAGGGCCTCATGGGACCCCTTATATACAATAACCCGCACTAGTCAAACGCAACAAAGCGCCCTTCTATGCCCCAGATCCCCTTTCCCACTTCCCTGAAGCTGAGCCCTAAACCCCAAACTCTCTCTTTCTCTCTCCCTCTCTCTCACAGGCATTCGAAACTTTAAGACTTTAAGCCTGGCTGCAGGAACCTTTTTGCAACAAGCTTTCCACTTCGCCCGGAGCAGGAACCTAAACCCCAAACTCTAAACCCTAAACCCCGACCCCCGACACCCAAAAGCTACCCCTGAGGCCTTGATCTCAGCAGGTCGTCCGGGCACCTCTGCAAGCTCTGCTCTTCGGGAGCTCCCAGGGGTTTAGGATCTCAGGTTTTAGGGCTTTGGGTTTCGGGTTTAGGGCCTTCAGGGCTTGGACTCTCGAACGATGCGGGCGAGGCTTGTCCGGTTCGAAGGGCGGTGCACTGACCCCATCACGTCGGCACATCTACGAGGTCAGGCATTCTCCGGCGGCATGACGGGGCACAAATACCGACCCGATCTAATTAGGGCAAAGAAACCTCCACCATGCAACTTCACACACTCTTGAGCTGCTCTGGCCTCTTTTCGTTGCCTAAGTTTTGCCCCAAACATCACAAACCCTCAACAACTCCAAAGAACGTAATGCCAACGCACAAAAAAGCTACTGCTCACGTGTTTCATAGCATCTTCTCGGGGCCAGCTGAGACATCTGGGGTTCAAGCAGTTCAGGGGCCAGGAGTACCAGGTCTAACAATCCAGAAGGTTCGTAGGCTCAGGCAGCTGCAATGAGCAGGTTACTTCACTTCTGTTCGGGGCGCCTGTGCCAAAACAGGCTTTCCTAGGCCTATTAGCACATCCACCTGCGGCGTCTCCATCGGCAAAACTAGACGAAAGTTTAAGTAAGGTCAAAAGCTCGATTGAACACATCATCACCTTACCGCAGGTCTCGTGTCTTCCTCGGGTTGCGGCTTGTCAGGCTACGGCCACAGATCCGACGAGCGGCTAAAATCAACCAAAACCCCAAACCTAGGGTTTAGGGGGGGTTCGACGGGTTTAGGCTTGAGGGGTCAGGGTGCCCTGGACCGCAAAGCCAAGCCCTTGGCCTAAACCCTCCTGTGCTGAAGACCTCGAACCACAGGCCCCTCACCTCTGAACCTTGACAACTAGAATACCCCTAAATTCTCTCAATGCGAAAGCCTAACTTAGGGCCCTTTACAAAATGGGAAGTTGGATGATATTACGCTTTAGCTGCTCTAATATGCTATAATTAATCAGCTCATCCAGTGCGACCTGTTCTTGAACACACCCGAAGCCCCCAAGTACCTTGATTCGCATGGCCGGCTCCTCACGCCTTCAGATAAGGTTTGCTGGGTCTTGTTGAGGGGTTTTATTCAAATTACCATTATGGGGATCTAGCGTAAACAATAATATGGTTTCCTTCTTACGGTAACTAAAAATTGAATCCCCTAACAAGAACCCGGACCCAGTTTGGGGTTGGTTCGTGTGAGCTTTGGGCCGCTGGACATCCGGATCCAGCTGTTGGGATCCTATCGCAAATGCCTACCGACCGAGCTACCTACCTAGCTACTTACCTACTTGCCAACATACTACATATACCTACCTACCTACCTACCTACCTACCTACCTACCTACCTACCTACACCCCCCCCCCACCTACCTGCCTACCTACCTACCTCCTTCCACCCCACCCTACCCTGCCCTACCCACCCCTACCCTACCCTGCCCCACCCACCCCTACCCTACCCCACCCTACCCTACCCTACCCTACCCTACCCTACCCTACCCTACCCTACCTACCTACCCAGGAAAGGGGCCTTCATAGGACTTCGTGCCATATTATATACAGTGTAATCAAAATATGGAACCCCGAACGAGTATTGGTAGTTACTTAGGCCCTATATTATATTAGCCGCCTGCGGCTCCGGAGCTTGACCGCAGCTCCTTAGGGGTGTAAGGGTTGAAGTCTTGAAGTTTCAGCTCTAGGGCTTAGGGATGCTTGGGGTTTACATGCGATATGGTTTGGGGTTTAATTATATGCTTCAAGGATCTTAGGGTTTATAGGGTTTAGGGTTTCGAACTCAACTTGCCCTGACAGCAGCCGCACCAAAGGTTAGATGCGATTAGATGCATTAGGCACATTGGACTCTGGAAGCTGCTACACCCCGAATCCCCAAACCCCTTAGCTACCAGACTCAAGTCTAGCCAGACCACGACCTTCAATCTTGGCTGAGGCCGGCATGCAAGAGCCGATGCCGAAGCTAACCCTACAGCCTAGACCTTAAACCTTATGAGCTTGCTGATTTGCCCAAACCCCCAAAACCCTAAAGCCTTAACACCCCAAAACTAAAGGTGCCTCGGATCCAAAGATGACTGGGAGCTGGCGGCCAGGGCATTGCACAAGTCAGCCAAGGTCTCCTGGGCACTGAAGGCTTAAGGTTTCGGGCTCATAGGCTTTAGGGTTTAGGGTTTAGGGTTGGGTTCAGGGCCTTAGCGGCGTAGGGTGGCGTAGGATTGACGAAGAGATCTCGTCTCTTACACTCGCGCAGGTCGGCAAAGATTCCAGATGTGCGCAGCACTTCAAACCTACGGCAGGCTCCATCTCAGATTTCAGGTCTGGGGCAAGTGGGGTCAGCATGCTCAACCAGGAAAGTCTCTCGAAGCTTTATGGACTTAGGGTTGCAAAAGCGAGAATGATTAGTGGTCCTCACTGTTTGTCCTAACCTCAAGCGTTGCAGGTGATGTGATACGAAAACACGATCAGGGATTGCAAGCCAGCTACATTTGCTCTTTTGTGCGTTATCAGAACAGACAGAAGGGCAGCCCAAACCCTAGACAGACAGAAGAGATCGGATTGATCACAGTCATAGTACTCGCCCAGCTTGTGCTTCTCTGCGTGACATGGTGCGAATGCACCGAATCCTTTTGCATCCGTTCTGCAGCGCCTCGACCGAAGCCTAAAAGCACCAACCCTGAAACCTGCCCTCCCCTAAACCCAAGTAAGGCCAGAGAGCTCGCCCCAGGCCAAGCTCAGCGCCAACATCGGCATCGCCCGAAAGTTCACGGAGGCTTCTGATGACGGAGGCAGGAACGAACAAAGCAGGCGTTTCGGGGTGACGGGGTATCTATATGAGGATTTTTGGATTTGTTTTTCCCACCCTCTTCGTTGACTTTTTTGACTTAGGTTTGGCGCTTGCGGGGTTTAGAGTTTGTAAGGTTTAGGATTTGGGGGCTTGGGGTTCAGGCCGCAAGGCTTCGCGGAGAAATTGTTGGCCACTGCATCAAAAACTCTAGGCATGGACAAGGGCTTGGGGCGTTGTGTCATCGATTTGGCGACTCTTGTTTCTCAGTGATTTGGGGTCCCGGGTGTCCGTTTGCTGGTTACTGGGTTGTCGTTACAATGGCTCCAAAACTCATGAGTAGGTAATGCTAAGGGACATGCAATAGATAGAACAAGTATCCTACGGTGCAACTTGTTACCTTGTGGCAAAGCACTCGATCCTCGCTTAGCGGTTGTTTTGCCTCTCTTATCCGCCGCACCTCACACGCATCGAACATCGACCTACCAAACGCTTGACTGCCACGCTTAGTTTCAACATCAACCTGCGACAATCAAGCCCCCTCCCATCCCAAAACTACGGCAAAGAAATGCAATCACAGCACCATCTGCTCAAGGATGACGAATCAACGTACTCGCAAAGTAACTCTCGACAATGCTGCTGCGAGATTCAGGTCGGTAAAAGATAGCAGGCCCCACCGACGAGATCATGTACGTCACTGCTGAGACACAACTGTAAAACCCAAGAACTCCACAGCATGGTAAGCATGACAAGAGCGGACTCCCATTCATGTAGCTGAGGAAAATGACCAGAAAGAGCCGTCTGGTCAAGAACATGTACGGCCCAACCATGGGTCGTGAGCTGAAGAAATATTGGCATCAACCAAGGGATGTGAGCACCAAACCTCACGCACAGAATGGAAAGTGCCAGTATACTTTGTGCACACTCCCTCATAACTCATATCTGCGTAGTTACAACAGTAACTGTATGGGAGTACCATGCTGTTCTGTCCGCTGCCTGATCAATCAAGCACTGATCACTGGGCAGGGTGTCCAAACAGTACCAATCACAGACAAGTAAGCGAAACCAATGCACCGAGAAACTCCGTGGACTGCCTATCTGTTGCTGGCCCTTGTATGCGAGCATGGCCTTAGTAGGAGTGTGATCCGCCCCTCTGCGAAGAAGATGGCCTAGATATTTCCACTTGCGTCGACCCCACGCTGACACCCAGCGCCATCTATGATCAGACAGAATCGATATTCGCTGAATGTCAGCGACTCGTTCAAGTCGTCTGGCACTGCAAGCTTCAAGGCCTGTATTGTGTAACTAAGGAGCTTGCCAGGTGTCAATCTGTTCGGTGTGATGCACTAGTGGGGACAGTATCGGCGAGAACCACAGCCAGGTGGAGGCAATGTAGACACTCAGAAGGTTCAGTGCGTCGATAACACAGTGCCATGAAACATGTTTGAAAAAGAGCTGCATCTCTTGCTGCGCTCCGTGCAAGCACTGTTGTGCTTGGCGAAGCAGGTTGGACGAGTGGTCCCCATGGGTTAGTCGTCGCAAGTCTCGCAGCGAGGAGTCCCAGGTGAGGCTTCGCAAAGGAGAATCCTCATGAAGGCTTTCTCGGCAGTTGCGAAGCAGTGCTTATCAGGTGAGTCTTCTCAACATTGATGTGGAGTCCGAGCTCTGAAGGTGTGCTCTCAAGTTTAGAGTACATGTCGCTTGCATGCTTCCAACAAGAAAGATAAAGGAGAATGTCATCAGTGCTAAGGAGACCGTAGGTGCCATGCAAAGATGGCGGGCATCGAGCTGTCCAAGATTGAAACAACTCTTCAATGCGGTGAGCTAGAACACAGCTGAAAATCCAAGAACTATGAGAGCCACCCTGCTGTACCCCACTGCTTTGTCGGATATGCCAGGCATCGGCCATGAACTGGAGTGATAGACCCGGGCTACGCATCCACTCAAGCATCCGTAGCGCTTTCCAACCATGTTCCAGTCCTATTTCTCGATGTAAAAACTCAGCTAGTTGGGACCAACGAATACTGTCAAATGCTGCGGAGACGTCCAGGCTGGTTCACATACTGTGCTTGCCCCACTTAGTTGCCCTATCTACCATGCTGTAAGCAGCAGACAGAGCATCGAGTGTCTGATGACCAGGCCTGCCAGCATGTTGACAAGGATGACAAGGGTACGTCGGAACTGATTGCTGAAGGCGAGGTATCAACACACTCATGAAGACCTTGTTGATAGTTTCAAGCAGGTTGATGGGTCTGAGGTCTTTCGGCCGAGAGACATGCTGGCATTTTGCGAAAAAGGAGACGAAAGCTTCGTTGTAGTCAGTGGCAATATCCCCTGTAAGCAACAGGCCATTTAGATGCGTGGTGTGCATTTGCATGCCTTCACTGTCAGCTTCGAGCGCCTTGACAAACTCAGCTGACACCCCACTCATCCCTGAAGTCTTGCCCCTCTTAAGCTTGTCCGCAGCTCTACGAACCTCACATTCTGCGAAGGGTACTGGCGCAGGACTGCTTGTGAGGACACGCTCCAGCAGCTTGGCTGCCCACTCATTGGCGTGTTGATCCGCTTCGAAAAGGCTCTTCATGCGAGATTGCACTGCGCTGGTCGCCTTGGCTCTACCTCCATTGTCTTGGAAGAACCAGTCATACGAAACCTTCGGTTGAGATCTTTGCTTGAGATAGCCGACGGATCCATAATCCTCTGAGGCTGCTCTGTGCATGAGGTCGCGAAGCCATTCCTCCCTGGCCTCCCGCCGTTGAGATAAAACTTGTTGTGATAGTTGCTGTCTGAGGCTTGGGTCCGAGGCAAGGTGGCGTTGTCTGCACAATTGTCTGATCGGTAGAGGGTCCTTGTATTTGAAAGAACGCTTGGCACCGAACAAGAAGATGCCAAATTCTTCAGCACATCCGACTGTTCAGACGAAGTCTTGCTAGCAAGCCGGGCACGGTCGATATCACTCGCGGCCAAAGCCTCCGATGAAACTGCCCACTTCTGCACCTGTTACGCTTTCGAGGCTTCTGCTTGGACTTGCTATGGTGATGGATACAGTAGAGTGACAAAGAAATGAAAGGATATCGTGATCGCAATGCAAGGCACCTGCCGCCTCCTCATCGTGCCTCATTTCAGGCTCTGTGAGGGAGCCTGGTCTGTGCACTTCATGCTTGTGGACGTAGAAATAGTCAAGACTACTGTGTGTAAATCTTCCATGCCATGTGGGTTTGTCTTCGGGCCTAGCGACGTCTCCAGCATCGCAAAGCGATCATCCCCCGGCTCAGCATTCCAGTCACCCCTAATAATGTACGGAGTCCTGGCAGCTATACAGGAAATAAACTGCTCAAGCTCATAAAGATAATCTTCATAACATTGCACTGAATTGTCGCGATGTGGGAAGTAGACGCCTATGACAACACAATCCTGCTGACGAACGTCGACAAAGCGAGCTGCTTTCCATCTTGTGTCGTGGTAAGTGTAGACTAAGGAACCACTTAGGCTTTGTCCAGCACGATCCCTTGACCCAGATAGCTTTGTGTGTCGCTCGCTCCCAAAATTAATTCATCTATCAAGTCGGACTCTGGCGGCAGATGGAACTGCTGAAGTGACCCTACAGACAGAAGTCGTCGACTCAATAGCCCCAGGACCCCCAACTTCACTGAGGAGGCCCAGTCACCCAGGCGCCCAAGAGACTTACCCTGCAGGTTCCAAGTGCTGCTGTCCATGTTAGAAACAGTGCTCTGCCGTTCGGGTTCAACTCAGCTTCGGACCGAGGTCCAATGATCTCGAGTGGCCGTCCAGTTTTGGCTTGGAAGCGGGCTGAGATTGATGAAAAAGCCAGTGGAATCATCGCAGCAGTCCACGCCATCATCGCTCTCCATGAAGAGCAGAGCTTGAGACGGGCCGACGCTCGCCGAGCCAGATAACCTGTCCGTTCCAGTCAACATCATCTATTCCCGGGGCGGTGAGGGGTTGTGTGCTGAGCTCGCAGACAGTGGAGATCCGCTCCCAAGCAGAGCACGTGGCCTTGATCTTCAAGCGTCTTTCCATGGATCGCGAAGGGCTAAACCAGATCTTGTCACCACTGGAGCAGACTACCATCTTGCTGTATTTGTTTTTCAGCTCATAAAATCTGATTTTCGCTTCCTCTGTCGACAAGACAGGAAGGTAGACATGGCTCGTGGAGGCCCGCTTTCCGTAGATCGCTACCTTGTCTGGCTGCGCTTCGCTCATCTGCCGTAGAAGCACCCACGTTTCACTCTCTATTGGCGATCGTTCGCCTAGCAGTCTACTTCATTCTGCTCCATTGCATACTAACCGAATGATCTTCGGAATTGTTGTGGGGCTCTCGGTGGCATAGGAGGCGAACGGTCAGGGTTGGCTGCGAATGTCGGCTCGGACCGCTGAGTTCCTCGCGCATCTCGTCCAGTTGCTGTTGTAAATTGGCGATCAGTTCTCCCCTGCGTGCTCGGAGTCTGTAATGCGATCGTGCAACACCTGAACACTGGCACTAAGCTTGCTGACCTGCTCCGTGACGGAGTTGGACAATGCGAGGGCCCAAGGCGGTTCTTGTGCCGCATGTCTCTCACGCAGTCTACCCGGCATAACATCAGCAGACACACCTTCTTCTAAAGCGCCAAGCCCCGCTTCTGCCACGTGCTTTCTACGAGTCTAGCCTTCACTACATGACGTCTGAAACCTTGAGCCTCAAACCTTGAGCCGTAGCCCTTGAACCCTAAACACAAAGCCTTGAACCTTAAACCCTAAACCCTAAGCCTGGAACCCTAAACCCTAAACATCGCTAAACCCTACATGTACCCTTTAAGGAACCTGAGAAGAATCCCTCCGGGCTCCTGGTGTACCCCTCACTCTCCACGCCGCCGCAGCGAAGCTGAAGTGCCGCTGCTGCAGGGTAGCCTTAAGCAAAGCACCGTAGGGTAGGGTTTTAGGGTTTCGGGTTTCGGCTTGATCTTGTGGGCTTTGAGGGATAAGGGCTTTGGTGGTCTTTAGAGTTTAGAGTTTAGGAAGCAAAACACAGTAGGGTAAGGCCCAACTCCAAAAAAGACGCAAAGGCTCTCCTCAACCGTACGGAGCTCCTGAAAACGACCCCTTGATTATCGAACCTCTGTCGAACCTGCAGAGGGCCCTGATAGAACCACCCCATGTGGTCCCTAAGCCCCTAAACCCTTAACCCTCAACCTTGAATCCTAAACCCTTAGCCCTCAACCTTGAATCCTAAACCCTAACCCTTGAATCCTAAACCCAAAACCTTGAATCCTAAACCTTAAACCCAAAACCTTGAATCCTAAACCCTAAACCCTAAACCTTGAATCCTAAACCCCAAACCCTTATTATAGAAGCTCCGAAGGACTCTCGGGGTGGATCGGCAGCTCATCCAAAGGCTCCGAGCCCGAGAAGACGCGCAGAAACCCGGCCGCCTGCTCGTAGGTTCGGGGCCCCACTCCTGGCTCCAAAGTTAGGGTTTAGGGTTTAGGGGTTTACGGTTTAGGGTTTAGGGTTTACGGGTTTCCGGTTTAGGGTTTAGGGGTTTAGGGTTTAGGGGTTTAGGGTTTAAGGGCTTAGGGACTCTTAGTTTAGGATTCAGAGTTAGAGTTTAGGGAGATGAATGGGGTTTAGGTCGGGGTTCAGGAGTTTAGGACTAATAGTCAGGTTTATGTAGTAGTACTCCTGGCTCCAACGCTCAAACATAGAGTCTGTAGGGTTTCCTGGCTCAGGAGACCATCAGGTAGGGTCTAAATTCGGAATGGGGTTTCCTGCCTCCCCCCCCACCTGAAAAGGCAGAGTCTGTCGGGCTTATATAGGGGTTTGCAGCAACTCGGACACCCTGGATTTGTCCAATGTCTAGAGGTCCTAAGACCCACTGCCACAGCTGTCGGGGTTCTAGGCCCTTGGTTTAGACTTCCTTTGTTGGTTTTCAGGTTTAGGGGATGGTGTTCTATTTTCTGTCGAGCGCAGAAGGGCTCCAAACAGGTTTGCGAGCATGGAAACGGAAACAAACGAAGAGAAGCCGTAAGAATTCTTGATTTAGGGTGTAGGGTTTCTTGCTAATGTGGTCTGATGGATGTCCGTGTTTCATGCTTGTTCCTCTTCAAGAAAGGCTCCTGACACCCGACGTTTCTGAAAAGTGTCTTCACAAGTCAATGGTTGAATGAAGCAAGCTTTGGGCTCAAACGGCGTGCATTGGAGCGCCGCTTGTCAGCGACTAGATCGACAGATTATCGTATTGGCATGTTTCGTGCTCTGGCCATGACGATGCCGGGGGTGACCACAACCACGAAATGGTACAAGCTAGACCGTCACCCCGTGGCGCTTCATTCTGCAATTCACTGACTGTGATGGTAGGGCTGGCAGCCCTTTTCAAATTGGCCACCTATACCCTGACACCTCCATTTTTTTGTTCTCTCTCTCTCTCTCTCTCTCGCTCTCGGACGCAGCTAGTGCAGACGCCTCGTACTGACAGCAAGTCCGCTCGGGACTTGAAGCGGCCGATGTCGCTTCGATGCCGGATGATGCTCTGCGCCAGGGACGCCGTCAGCCCGGACACATGCCTAAATGTAGGGTAAGTAGGAGAGGGGTTTGAGGTATATGCTACTAAACTTATACGAGGACTGCAAGGGGGCACTAGCACTAATTAGCGCGTTCTACGGCATCTAGGGGAAGCATAGGCGAGTAGCCTTGGAGATGTGTCCCAAAGCAGGTGCAAGGGACCCTTACTGAAGCCTCAACCTGGAACCCAGAGCTCGAGACCCCAAAAATGCCCAAACCGCTTCTAAGGCGCTCCAGGATTGCCGGCGACGCCGTGTTGAGATCGACGCCCACGGCGTTCACGCAATCCATGGTGGCGCCCTTAAGCTCCTCTGCCAGGCGCCGTTGGTCCACATCCTCGGCTTTGCTTGGGAACTTAACTTAACCAAGACAGGCTTTCCCTCCTCTCCCAACTCAAAAGACAAGCTCCTGCAACCAGAACCCAGCATCGTGCTGGTAGAGGCCCACCCCGATGCTCCGCGGATCGATCTTCACCAGCTCGGAGAGGGGGTCTAAGAGGCGTCGCGCGATGGACACCGCGCCCCGCATCGACACGTCCAGGTCGGGCAGCTCCTGGGTTCTTGTTTAGGAATTTAATTTAAGCTACCATAATTTATAGGGATCCATAGTAAATCATATGGATTTTTTTATGGTACCAGTTTAATTGGAGTTACCAGAACAGGGATCCATATAGTAAATAATATGGTTTCTTTATAATATGGTACCTTAAATTATAAATCCCTAAACAAGGACCCAGGCTCTGCGGCGGCGAGCTCGGAAGCGCTGTAGATCGAGGCCCCAGACTCATCCACCACGGCATAGCCGACACGATCTCCCAGGAAGCCCGACTCTTTGAGCTGCTGGCGTAGCCAAGCCTCCGTTTTTTCGGGAGACCCCCTGAAAACCTTGTTTTTTGTTGGTGAAGTCGTACTGAGAAACCCTAAACCCCCTAAATGAACCCCTTAATTAACCCTAACTCTACCCCCCGAGCCTCCAAACCCAAAACCCAAACTCCTAGACCCCTACAAACTTTTCCCTAAACCCTAAAGCCCAGACTCTTACACAGTTCCCCTAAAACTTTTCCCAAAAGCCCTTATGTAAACCCCTAACCCCCTATAGGCCCTAAACCCAAGCTAAACGCCCCCTCTTTAAGCCCTAGATACCCCCTGAAACCCCAAACCTTAAAACCTAATCCATGGATTAAACCCTTAGCCGTGGCTCCGAAACCCCTAAGCCTTAAAACCCTAGAACCCTAAACCCTAAAACCCTAAAAACTCTAAACCCCAAAACCCTAAAACCCTAAAACCCCAAAACTCTAAACCCTAAAGCCCTAAACCCTAAGCAAGTAGCCCTCAGCGGATTTCCGTGGTTTCGGGGCCTTGTCGTCTTCCAGGGATGCTTGGTTTGCCACCTGGATGTTGGCCCCCAAGTCCTCTCATCTGGGTTCTTGCTAAGCGAGTTGATTTAAGTTACCATGGGGGTTTAGGGGTTTAGCGGTTTAGGGTTTAGGATTTCGGGAGCATAGGGATTTCATTTAAGTGGCCATAATAAGGAAACCCTATTATTTACTATAGATCCCTATTCGGGCAACTTCGATTAAATCCGTTAACAAGAGCCCAGTCATGCTCAGAGATTCGAGCTTAGGGCTGCAAAGGCTTAGGGTTTTGAGTTTGTTAGGGTTTAGGGTTTAGGGTTTGGGATGTTTATGGGTTTAGGGTTTAGGGTTTGTTAGGGTTTAGGGTTTAGGTGTAGGGAGGTCAGAAGTTTATTTAGGGTTCCATGCGCGATTCAGGTGACTTGCGAGCATGCGAATCAGCTCAAAGCCTGGCTCGGGCCAGGTCATAGGTTTAGGTTTTGGGGCTTCGGGTTTAGGGTTTATGGTGTGGGGTTTAGGGTCTTATAATTAGGGTTTAGGGTCTTAGGCTAGGTACCAGGGCTGAATGACTAGGAACTTGGGGACACTGCAGGAGGGTAGTTCTCTAAACTAGACTAGGGTCCCTTTGCAGGTCCCCAATCTTGTATGGCGCCCTTATAATAAAAAGGAGCCCTAAAGGGACCCTAATTTAGCAAACTGACCAGGAACACCCGAAGAGGAGATCTTGAAAGAAACGCCCCTGTCCTGCAAGCAGAGGAGAAGCTTGTCCCCACCGGTTCGCCGGAAGCATTCCACAGCGGCGATGGAGGCACAAAACCTTGGCTCAGGCCCATCTGAAATCCTAAAGGCCTGAATCCCGAATCATCTCAAGAATCCGATGCAACCCCAAACCCCAAAACAGTCCGACGTAACCGTCTTAGCTCGGGTCCTGGCTCTCCGCCGAAGAAGCAAAGAGCCAACCTGAAACGGAGAGCGGGGTTTTGGGGTTTAGGGTTTAGGGTTTTGGGATTTAAGGGTTTAGCTGGCAGCTACGAAGTTTAGTCAAGCCAAAAAAATCCAACAGAGTTTAGGCTTGAGCCGCTCTCGGGCTTTGAAGGACACTCTTAGAATCTAGACCCCGCCTCCTGAGGACCATCTTGAAGAAGAAAAGAAAGGAACTAAGGGAGCCCACAACTTGAGATGCGGAGACCTCTGAGACACCCCTAGGCCCTAAACCCTAAACCCCAAACCCCTAAACCCCAAACCCTAAACCCTAAACCCCAAACCCTAAACCCAAAACCCTGATGAGACCCGGGCCCATACAGGACCTTCAGCTCCTCCTTGGGAATGAGGCGGTAGATTTGGTACCTGCATCTTCGGAGCGCAGAAAGGAAACAGCATCGGCTCTCTCCGTGGTCTTGTGCATCCAGGGTTGAGGCTTGAGGGCATTAGGGCGTAAGTTGAGATGTAGTGCAGGGGCCTTAAAATGTTAGAACAGGGTTTGGGGGCCGCCAGCTATTTCCATAGACCTTGGACAGAAGAGCTGAGTAACATAGGGGCCTCAATACTTAGAATAGGGTCTCGCGGCACGCTACACAAAAGTACGTAATCAGAAAGGCGAGAAATACCATACGATCACTATCAATAGATCAAGGGACCGTAAGACCGCAGATTCGCGGCAGCCACAGGGCCAGCTGCTGAAAAGCCTGCATGCTGAACCGGACGCGATGCTATTCCGACAACCGGTCAAGCTTAAGTTGATGGCCCCTTACACCCTACACCTTACCTACAGTATGAGGGTTGCATAATATTACTCTATTAAGTCTCTGAAGCCGAAACCTCGAATCCCCAAATTCTGACAGATTCGAGGACCTTCCTAACTGCCAACATAAGCGGGAAAGAAGCACGCTTTCCAGCTTTTGGTTCACCAGATATGCTCGCTCGCACGGAAGTTCGAAGGACCCAACATTACACACCGCACGCACACCCCAAACTCTAAGCGCCAAGCCTAATCCCGAAAATCCCTCCACCCAGCGAGAGGGGAGAGAGAGAGAGAGAGGGAGAGAAAGAAAGAAAGAGAGGCAG